TAAATTTTACCCAAAACAAAAGCCAACCTATAAACAAATACTGAATTCTAAGTGTTTAGAGGTGAAATGTATTGATATTTGTAACTTATTTTGAAATGCATCAAAGAATATAGGTGGATTGGTAGGTGGATAGAAGGACGGACAGATACACAGTTATGCAATAAAGCAAACACAATAAAAAGTTAACTACAGAATCTAGGTGGTAAGTATATGACTGTTCATTGTACAATTCTTCAATCTCTACTTTCATAATACACTATTGGGAAAAAATGCCTGATTGGCTTTCTTAACTAGAAGTAGACTACCTAGGTATAATATATATGTGTGTGTAGAGAAGTACGAGGGGTTTTCAAAAAGTTCATAGAAAGATTTGTATTATCTTTTAATTCCACTTTTCCATGAACTTTCTAAAATACCCTCGTATAAACATTATTCACTTATATACACAGAAAGATAAAAACTGCTGCACAGCTCATCAAGACATGAAGGAATCATGCTTAACTATTGCCAAAATACCAGTCCTCTCATTTTCATTCATTTATTCATTAAATATTTATTATTATTTATTTTATTATACATAAGGAACTCTACTATGTGTCTTGGAAAATAACCCATATTTTAAGCACTTAATACATGCCAATCACTTAATCCATTTATGCACAATGTTTTATCTTGGATAATCACCCACTAACACAAGCATTATTCTTGTTCATAGTTCTGAAATTTTAATAACTTCAGTGCACGTGCATAGGCAATTATAGCTTTTCTAATTTGGGTTCTGTAAATATTTTTATTTTTATCCCTAAAAGGTTTTTCTTTAAAAAAAGGTAATTTTTTTTGGCTTGGTGATCAAGTACTTGGGAGCAAACTACAGCACATGAAAGAAAAAACGTTCCCTTAAGGTTTTGTATCTTAGAGAAGTTACTTTATTTTCTAATCAATTGTAGCTACGTCTTATAATCCGGAGAAAAAACACGTATAAGGGTTTTGATTTACCTCTGTTTGGGAAAAGAGGCAGCAACTATTAATATTTTCTGTGGACTTCAATTATCCTTTTGGATAACAGAGTGGCCTAGATCATGTATATTTTATGATAACACTTTCTCTCTCAAAAAAATCACAGAATTATTTCTCACTTTAAAAACAAAATCTAAATTTTATGCTGTTGATCTAAGGAAAAGAAAGACCTTAGGAATCAGCAAATGTTAATAAGAATAAACATGAAGCTAGTAAAACTCACCAAAGAGTCATATTTACCAGGAGGTATACTGAATGTAAAGACAAGGTTAAGGTGAAAAGTTTGTGACAAACATTACAGGCTGTGAAAGAGACCACTGAGCCACAGGAAAGGCTGCAGGAAGTGACCTAATGGATCATTCACAGTTCAGAGAAAAGGATGTTGCAATGTCTTGCCTACAGATTATTTTTTAGAGAAGGAAGGAGAGCAGGGTTAGACCCTGGGGAAGAGACCCTGGGAAGAAAACCAGGGACAAAACCCAGGGACATTTTGACATTTCATAGCACATGTTGTGTGGATAACCACTGTGGAAGACTTTTAAGGAAGTAGTTGATGGCCTGTCTGCCAATGCCATGCTTCTACATAAATCGCTTGCTATTTGAGCAGGTTTTTAGAGATTGAGAGCAAAATAAAAAAATCTGTTCAAAAGTGAACAGATTTTAGAGTCAGGCCTAGGTGCAGATCTCAGTTCTGTTACATATCCACTAAGTAATTTTGGTTAAACTTCTTTAATAACCAGAGCCTCTATTTTCCCAAGGTTATAAGAAGATAAAACCATCTACCTGTCAGGGTTGCTGGGCACATGAAATGAGATCAAATATGTAAAAAATTCAGTTCTATGCCTAACGTATAGTAAGCCCTCTGTCAATAATAGTTCTGTCTCTCTTTTCCTTTCATAAGCAAGCCCTTGGTTTTATTAATGCTACAAAAAACATTTATTACAAAGCCTCTGCTGGTCACAAACTGTAACAGCAGGACCCCCCATATTTGATCATATTTGATCCTTTTCCCTAGGGCTGGAGCAGGCCTCAGCGCTGGAGGAAGTTTGCAAGGCAAACTTGCTGGGTGAATCCCCAGAAATAAGAATATGCCTGTCTAGCAGAATATAAGAGCATAAACGCTTGCTTTGCATACATTTCTCTGAGTTCCCTCTTTTCCCATGGTGACTTGATATTTTGAACCTTGATTATGGGGCAGGATGACATAATTTATATAAATATTGAGCTGTTTTCCAGACCCTGAGAAACCAAGGAAGATGTCAACAAAGCTATAGTGACTCCGTCCTAAAGTAAATCAAAATCCTGCAGGACCTTAAGATAACGTCAAGGAGGAGAACAGCAGCCAGATGGGAGTCCTGACAAGAATTTGCACCTGACCCCTTACACATATTTCCCCCTCCTGTTCTCCATTCCTTCCACCGCCTCTTTAAGAAATCCCTCAGTAAATCTGAGCTGAGCAGATGGGTTAGTTTAATAACTCTCTTCAGGTTACCAATCCTGAATAAAGCTGCCTTCCCTTCTCACCAACACTTGACTTTTGAGTCTTTTGTTTCTGTTTGGTGGCAGGCAGCTGGACCTGGGTTTGGTAACAGAACCACTTTGGTAGAGTGGAAATCCTAAGAGGAAAATCCCTCCAATCTCTTCCCAGGCCATTTAAGACATTTGCATATACATATGAAGAGGTGAAAGTGCATCCACTATTTCTGGTTTTCCCTGAGCACACTGGTACATAACGTAGGTAAAAGTTTATTTGGGGAATATGCTTAGCTTTTAAAAATTATATCTGTCCGGTCTTCCTGAAAAAACTGCCACATCTAGCACAGGCCATTTCTATGAACAATCTCCTAAACGCTTTTGGAAGACTGAATAACTAGATACAATACAAGAAATTTTAATTCTCTTCTCAATTTAATTTAGTGATTAGAAATAATTATCATTCTGCAGAGATGGTAATGTCCAGAGACAAACTGTCATGTATCTAGGAGGTAGCAAACAAGTATTCAATTTTTTAAAAAATTTTACTATGAAAACTTTCAAACATACAGAAATGTTTAACAGATTTCCATGTATCTATGATCCAGTTTCAGTGATTATCAATGATCCCATTTTAAAGCTAGAATTTAGAGATGCGAGCAGTTTATCTCAGACAAAAGCAATCATGTTTTTAAAAAAAAAAAAAAAAAAAACATAATTGCTTTTGTCTTTTTCTGTGTCCGGCAACGGATCGCAACCCTCAGTGTTGCCCCCGTACCGGACCGGGGACCGGCAACGGGATTGCAAACCTCGGTGTTGCTCCCGTGCCTCGCTCAGCCAGTGAGCGGGAACCGGTCTGTACATGGGATCCGAACCCTCGGGCGGGAGCGCCGCCGCGCTTCCCAAGCGGCGCACTTATCCAGTGCACCACCGGGCCGGCCCGGCAATTATGTTTTTAACAGAGGCATGTCCCTTCAGAATGGTATTTCCCTTGGCAAGAACAATTAAAACCTTAAAGTCACAGTGGAAATTACCCAAATCTTGATATATATTTTTTTCCTTTTTGTCTTTCTTCGTGACCGGTAACAGGATCGCAACCCTCGGTGTTGCACCCGCACTGCGCTCAACCAGTGAGCGGACTGGTCTCTATATGAGATCCGAACCCTCGGCGGGAGCGCCGCCGCGCTCCCAAGCGCCGCACTCTACCGAGTGCGCCACTGGGCCAACCCCAAATCTTGATATATTTAAACAAACACACTGGTTCCCTCTTCCTAAATAGCTTCAGAGAAGGGAAGGTCTTCCCAATGTGTGGAGTTTTTACTTTATACTTGGGTCAACTCACTATGAGAAACAATGATAGAAATCCTGAGGTTTGTACCATAAATCTTTCCAAGGACCCTGGAATGACAATGAGCATAAGAGAAAGGAAAAAGGGGGGAAAGGGTTAGGGAAGGCCAAATGGGATCATGAGACTGCTGGACAAAATGAAAGGAAGGTACACAAGGCACATTCACAAAGGCTTCAATATGTTCCAGACCAAAATTCCAGAAACTTTAAGCCTCCATTCTTCTGTCATAACTTCTTAACATAGTATCATCACACTATCTTAGATAACTCAATCACCCACTAACACACCTGCTCTTACCACTTCTCTAAAGTCATCATAAAACCAGAAGGAACAGACTTCTTCACAGCTGCCACAACGTTTCTGCCCCTTCACCTCCTTACTATTAAGACAACCACTTGCAGCATATAACTGAGTACTATTTGCTGTCTCTGCTGTGGGAAAGCCCTCTATTCTTCTAAGGGGACAAAACAGAACTTGCTGCAACTAGAAACAAACACAAGCAAAAGAAAGCAAACCACCCCCAACCCCCACTGTCTTAGATAGCCTCAAATTATATGCAAACATGAGCTGATTCATGTGGCTCAGCTTTTCACTAGGGAGAAAGTTTGGGTTCCCTAGCAGAGATCTAGAAAGTTCCAATTAAGCAGGCTAGATGAGGAGGGGTGATATCACCACTTTCAGCAGCGAGCTTCAGGACTAAACACATTAATCAGAAATGACTCTATGGTTAGTTTATACACATGACATCATATAGTCTGAGCTGTGGTCCCTTCCTGCCCACTGAAAAGTGTTCACTGTCATCTGACTTAATTCATTCTAAAGGAACTTCCACTTCTTTAAACTTCAATGTGAGCTTCAAAACCCACATGTAACCAGCCACAATTCTGCTGAAAATAAACTTGGCCAATGCCTTTTTCTAAGCCCTGGCAATCTGGAGTTTCCTTCTCCAAAAGGGAGTATTTTACGCTCCTCTGAGAGTGAGTGAAGCCCTATAAGGCTACCTGGATCACAACTTACTAGCAGGAGTCACAAACTGAGGAAAACAATATGCCTTGGGAAGACAATGAGCACAAGAGAAAGGAACAAGGTGGAAAAGAGTTAGGGAGGGCCAAATGGGAACATGAGAGCTGCCGGACAAAAACAAAGAAAGGAACACCAATACCTTTGAGAAGATGATGCTGTCCATTTCTTCACTGGGTGAGTGAAAGAGGTTAGAATCACTCCCAGATTCTCTGTTAAGTATGCTTTGTTTTGAGGCACACTCTCTGCCCAGTGCAACATCCAGGAAGTTCTCACATTCTGAGAAGAAAATTTAATCAATTAATACCTTTAAAAAATTCACTTTCTTTTCATCCTAGCAACCAGTCTTTTAAATCTCTCTCACTCTTTCTTTCTTCTCTTCCATCCTGCCTTCACTTTTTTCTTTCTTTTTTAAAAACTATTAAGAAGCTATAAAGAACACAGTGAAATTAGAAGCTTTCAGCTCTGCTACTCCATTTCTAGCTTGATACAGTTACTACAAGGCAGTCAAAAGTTTGCCATGTTTATCTTAGATACAAAAAGATAAAATGACGATTTGGAATCATATTCTACCTATGTTTAGGTAACTAAATGGTAATGTTTTCCTCCTGGTAGTTAGGGAATTTTTTTCTTCTGCTACCAAAATCCAAAGTCCATTACTAGGAAACTATGTGATAGTGTATGTGGCCAATTTCTGTTTTGAGACTAAAGTTCTTTCTGGAAACTTGTTACCTTTTCAAAATAGTGGGATAAAAGACAAAGGGTGGAGGCATACCTAATAAACACATTAGTATATTAAATTTATAGGTTCTACTGAGTAATAAGAGAAGTATAATTTAACTTTAGGAAAAGGTAGGAACCTTAAAAAGATCTTATATTGGGGGAATAATGTACCAAAGTAAAAGAAATGTACCATCTAAAATCTGTTTTTAGTTCAATAACTAGAACGGGGACTCTGGCAAACCAGAGGAAGAGATCCTTAACAGAACTATTACATCAGTACACAGAGGAATCCTAAAGACTTAGTATCTTGAAATTAGCAAGGTTTTTAACCTATTTTCTCGTATTAAATTTGTAAACAAAAGGGACACTTGACCTTGCAGCAACAGGGTTAAAGAGATTTGTAGATGGTGAAACCAAGAACCCAAAGAGTCAATTTAGTAGGTAGATATCAACCTCCTTCAAGAAATTCTGAAGATAAAAGTGATGCCTCTCCATTCTAGTAAGCATTTTAATGTATGATTTGAACAAACGCACGCATATGTTATCAAATCTGCAGGTGACACTAAGTGATGAAGGACAGAGCAGAAAACCCAGCAGTTCATGAGAACTCTACCTAAAAGTTTTGGTCAAAAGCAAATTCAAGAGGAGCTGACAATACAAGGTCAGAGCAGAACAAAGAAAAAGGTCACTAACAGTTTTAGGCTTTATTAGTAGACAATATACTGGAACCAGAAATGGGGACAGTCTTGTCACTATGTGCTATTTGTATTTGTTTACAGATAACATTGAAATTAGAACACTGATAAACAAAATTGTATACACAGTAATGAGGACACAACACTGGAAACATCTGAGGTGCATTCAGCTTGCAGATGAGCGTGAAGAAAATGTGCCTAAGGAAATTCATAGATTCCCTCTGTGCTGTTCCTGAGGCAAAACAAAGACCACCATGGAAGCTGGATAGCTCCACTGTAACAGAGCTGCTGGCAATGAGGTGGGCAGCCTCATAAAGCAGTATCACTTCACCAGAAGGGCTGGAGCAGAGACTGAATGACTATGTCAAGATATTACAGAAAAAATATCCACAGAGAGGAGAAGGAGAGAATGGACTACCAATGTTTCTTTTGATGCTTAGATTCTATGCTTGGAGTAATTTTGTGTTTTTGTGCGTGCATGCACACACATATATATTTTGAAAGATATCGGGAAGATGTTCTTATCTAAATTAATTAACAGTTAACTAATTAATAATTAATAGTCAATAAATTATTTGTCCTGTACCAATGAGGTAGCTTAGAGGAAGGGTCAAAGAGGCATTTCACTGGTATAGATCATGAATCACTTGTCAATAAAATATCCTTTTCTATTTGTTAGGCATTAGGCTAGGCACTGGGAAAGAACCAAAATAAATAGAAATGTTTACTGTTTGTACATGGGGGGAAGGGTTTACAGTCTTGTGGTTGAAATGAACATATTAAGAGACCCTTTCAAAACAGAATTAAACAAAAAATGCCACAGGAAGTGAGGCAGGTCCCATGGATCAATGTGAAAAACTTCTAGTTAAAAAAAAATGACCTCAGTCCATTTCAGTCTCAGTCCAAACTATTTCTGTGTGTTAGTTCAATGGGAACAGCCCTGCCCTTAAGGCACTGAAAATTATGGGTATGGTAGAGGTTTTTTTTCCATATTTCACAAAGTATATAGTAACTTAGGTGGAGTTAATAGGTGTGATCTTTCTTTTTCTTCCCCTTTCCCCACTTGGAAAAATCAAAAACTCAATTCCATGGCTGAGGGAAAAATAGGGAGGCTGACCAAGAAAAGAAAGGGCTGTCACAGCAACTGTGCTGAGCTGCTAACTGTCCAGCTGGCAGTTTAACAGACCACATCCATATTCCACACTGGAAAACACACCAGCTCAAGAATTTTCTAACGGAAAATTCACAGAGAAGATCCAGATTCAGCCCTGGTAGGAATACCTCACCCAGAAAATAAATCCAAGCCAGCACTACAAGGGAACACAAACCAAGTCTGGGATAAGAGTCTACTGCGTGAGACAATGTTGATTGTTGGGGTAGGGATGAGGGAAAAGTACAAAAACGAGGAATAAGGGAGAGAAAAGGACTATGGTCTTTCTATATACAAAGCAATATATATATATATAATATATAAACCAATATAACCCTGCCACCATAAGGTTGCGGGGAAGGGCAGGGGCAATCTCTAAAGGCAAAGCTAATCCACACCCTGTGTCACATGTGTTGATAAGTTTTCAAAATTAATGAAATCTTTCCTTTCTTCCTACAAGTCACATTTCTAATAAATAAAATGGAGAACCTTATCAAAGAGTAAACAAGAACAAAGAGCACTGGTTTTAGAGTTAGACTGATCTGGCTTAAATCTCGGTCTGACTACTTATTAGAAGAAAGATCCCAGGAAAGATGTAGTTTAACCCCTCTAAGTCTCCATTTCCATACCTGTGAAACCAGATGAAACTCCATTAAAAGAGTTGTAGTGACAGAAGTAATTTATACATATAACCGGAACTCTGGTCCTCAGCACATAGCAGGTGTGTGATAATGAAGTTAAGGCTTCATTAACCTTCAGTGTGTGATTCAAGAAGTATGTGGATGATAGTACCTTGAAGGTGGGCACAGATGGGGGCAGTCCTGTTTTATAACCCATGTATAAATCTGTCTATAATTTTTGTGCAATGAGCCATTAGCATTTTAAAAAGTACATGTTCTGCTAGCTATCTAGTTATCTGGATTTAAAATGACAAGCACAGAAACAAACTGTAGTTGGGGAATGGTAGAAAAATACCAGCAACATCCACTAGGCTTTGTTAAACCATGCTAACCATAATCCTATCTTGTACTTATTGAGTAGTGAAGAGTACACAAAGTGATTTAAAAGATACTATTTTGTTTGGTCTAACACCATGGCTGTCCTGAAAAAGTATTTAAAGTAAAAAAAAGAAACCTTTAAGACAAAGTACCTGGGATTCACAAAAAAAACCTATGACTAAAATAAAAATCTCATGTCTGAAGTTTAGTAGCATAATACAGACCTTGGATTTTATCAAACTGAGGTTTACAAGTAATCACTCTAAAAAGACCAGATTGTTTATGCTTGGGATTAGGGTGTAGAGGGAGATTACAAAATTTAAGATCATGCCCTGGGGAAAATGCTATAGGTTCAAAAATCATTTCTCCAAATGAGTAAATTAAACTACAATGTGTGGAGATATTTCCTTCCTATGAATATTCAAACTGTAAGGCAACCTCAGTTAACCCCTACTTGGCAAAATGTTTCACTGCTTGGGAGGTTGAGAGTAACTTTAGAAAAAGCCCCAGTTTAAGGAACCAAAACATAGTAAGTAGTACACTTTTTAGTATAAGATTTAATGGGGCTGGATAGGGAAAGTGGTTGGTGAACAGGGTTGGTCTTATAAAAAGTGGAGACCCTAAACACAACTATAGCATCATAATATTCCTTAACCCCTCTTTCAGAAAGTGAAGACAAAAAGAGACCAAAACGCTTTTCATGTTTGTTCTTAATACTTCATTTGTAGTAAAGTCAGAGAGTTGAGAATCAGTAGGAAACCTCTCTGGAGACTGAAGATTTGAACAGTTTGTTTTTAAATTTAATACTACACTTCAGGGTACCTACAGCTAAACTGTTTCTATAAGATCAGCAAATAAGAAGGACTCAGTAATTTTTAAAGCAGGTCAGTAAAAACTGAGAAGGGAAACAGAGGCTTTGTTGGGTTCAGCAATTCAAGAACCCAGAATGCCAATTACTAGTATTTACCAAGCAGCTACTGGAACAGGCACAGGGACGTACAATTACTCACCATGTCATCAGTACAATACCCCCCAATGAGGCAAGCTAGTAACACTTTACAGATAGGAGAAAATAGAGCACACAAACATTAGGAAACATACCTTATACCACAGAGAGTTAGTGGCTGAACTTGAGTTAAAAGTTGGGAATCCTAAGTAACCACAAGTCATGTGCTGTGTCATTAACAAGCCAGGTCTTAAAAAGCTTCTTACCCCCATCCTTTGTTAACTAATATCACACAGGTGCTTAAGGAAAGACTCAATTCCTGACAACGCTTCCAGAGAGTAACTGGTTCTCAACCTTGGCTACACAGTAGGGTAACCAAAAGGAGCTTATAAAGATTCTGATGCCCTGGCCACACCTCAGCCCATTTAAATCAGAATCTTAGCAGGTAGGACCCATGCATCAGTATATTTTTAAAGCTTGCTCACTCAGATATTTCCAATGTGCAGACAAAACTGAGAACCACAAGTTTAGTCCTTAATAATATGTATATATAGTTTTACTAAATTAAAAAACCTGTATCATATGTACATGCACAGCACAGATGCCTTCAACAAATGAATCAATAAGTCATAAAGCCACACATGAAGTCTGTTACTACTAAAATGAAATTAAGGTAATTACATGTACTCATCTTTAATTGTGAGACAAAATGCCTACAATCCCAAATCATATATATCCCTTCCTCTGATTTACTGTATAACAAACAAAGGAAGGGCAGATCTCAAAATCAAATGATTTGTTATTAGAGTGGGACTTCAGCTCTAGAAAATGGACATTTTGGATGTAGTTATTCAGGCAAATTGGAAAACGAAAAATCTCTGCTTACCTGGGCTTTGCTTGGAAGCCAAAAGAGATACTGCATCAGGGCATGGCTGTATAGTACACCAGCTTTCTCGGTTTATCTGAAGGAAGAGGAAAACACTGAGTTTCAAACAGTAATGTGGGATGATTTTGCAGGTGCTGAAAGTATATCTACTGTACCAACACTACCTTTTTCTTTAATATTTTATTGTAAGGTGGGTAAAATTATGTCAAGAAAAAAAAACTTTTCACAATACAACCAAGGCAATCTGTATTCAATGAAGGCTCTAAAAAGACTGTTAATAAAAGTTAGGCATACGAAAGCAACAGGAAAAGATATGCAAAGAGGGAGGCTTGGTGCAGACCAAGGGTGGAATAAAAACGAAGTTAACAGATAAAACTGACCAAATATTAAAATACATATTTGATGTCCTAGTTTTCAACAAAAAAAAAACAAAAATAAGTTACAACAACCAACCATCTTAACATCGTAACCCTTGACTTTCATTAAATTTGAAGTAATTTTTTAAATTACCATAGAAGATTTCAACAGTCTCCTCTAATTAATAAAACAAGTACAGTAGACACAAAGTCAGCAAGGATATAGCAAACTTGAAAAACAAAAACCAATTTGACCTAGACAACACATACAGAACACTCCACCCAATAATAACACTATTTACAAGCACCCATGAAACAGTCATATTCTGTGGCATAAAACAAATCTCAAAATAAATAAAACAAACCTACATATTTTGTAGCATAGAACAAGTTTCAAATTTAACAGGATTAAAATCATAAAAAGTATGTTCCCTGACCTCAATGGCATTAACTTAGAAACCCAAAACAAAAGATATCTTGAAAAACCCCAAATATTTAAAAATTAAGAACACTTTCTAAATAACCCATGAACCAAAGATATATTAAGAATTAGAAAATATTTTGAATTGGATAAAAATAAAACACCACATATAGAAATCTGTGGGATACAACTCAAGCAATGCTTATAGCAAATTTTATAACATTAAATGCCTATATCACAAAAGAAGAAAGGTCTCAAATCAGTGATCTAAGCTTCTACCTTAAGAAACTAGAAGAAGAGCAAACTAACACAAAACAAGCAGGACACAGGAAAATAAAGAACACAAATCAATAAAATCGAAAACAGAAAAACAATAAAATTAATGAAACCAAAAGCTGGTCCCATGAAAAGTTCAATAATATCAACAAAACCCTAGCTAATCAAGAACAAAAGAAAAGTTATGAAATACTGGTATCGGGAATTAAAGAGAGACATCATTATAGATTCTACAGACATTGAAAGGGTAATAAAGGAATATTATGAAAAATTTACTGCAATAAATTCAACACGTTTGATAAAACGGAAACATTCCATCAAACTACACAAACTACCAAAATTCACTCAAGAAGACACACAGTTAACCTGAACACCCTTATTCTATTAAAGATATTATATTTATAGTTTAAAACTTTCCTATGAGGAAGACTCCAGGACCAGATTGCTTCAGTGGTGAATGCCACCAAACATTTAAGGAGGAAGTAATACCAATGCTACGCAAACACAGAAAATAGAAGAGGAAATAGTACACGGCTTATTTTGTGAGTCCAGCATCACCCCAACACCAAAACCAGACAAAGACATAAGAAATTACAGATCAATATTCCTCAGGAACACAGATGTAAAAATCTTAAATGAAATTTTAGATATACTGAATCCAACAACAGACAAAAGATAAACATTTCATAACCAAGTGGGCTCATCCCAGGAATGTAAGGCTGATTTAGCATTCAAAAAATCAATTTATTAAAATAGACCCCAAAACTCACAAACTAATGATCATCAATAGATGAAAGAATTTGGCAAAATCCAACATCTATTCATGATAAAACTCTCAGAAAGGAAATTCCTCAAACTGATAAAGGCATTAATAAAAAAAAAACCTATATCTGGGTGGCCAGTTAGCTCAGTTGGTTAAAGTGTAGCCTTACAACACCAAGGTCACAGGTTTGGATCCCACTACCGCCAGCCACCAAAAAACAAACAAACCCCCCCCCAAAAACAAAAAACCCCACAAACAAACAAATCCTTCAATTAACATCATACTTAGTGGTTAAAGACTAAATGCTGTCATTCTGCATTTAGGAACAAGACAAAAATGTCCACTCTCATCACCTTTATTCAGCATTGTTCTGGAGGTTCTTGCCAGTGCAGTAAAGCAGAAAAAGAAGTAAAATGCATACAAATGGAAAGAGAGAAGTAACATTTTCTTTATTCGCGGAAGGTACGACTATCTAGAAAATTCATGTGTAGGAAAACAAAACACAAAAACAATACTAGTTCTGGGGCCGGCCCGGTGGCGCACTGCTACAGTGCGCCGCTTGGGAAGCACGGCAGCGCTCCCGCCAAGGGTTCGGATCCCACATACAGACTGGTTCTCGCTCACTGGCTGAGCGAGGGGCGGGCGCAGCCCCGAGGGGTGCGATCCTGTTGCCGGTCCTGGTCCGGTACAGGCGCGACACTTAGGGTTGCGGTCTGTTGCCGGACACGAAAAAAGACAAAAAGGAAAAAAAAAAAAAAAAACAATACTAGTTCTGGGGCCGGCCCGGTGGCGCACTGCTACAGGGCGCCGCTTGGGAAGCACGGCAGCGCTCCCGCCAAGGGTTCGGATCCCACATACAGACTGGTTCTCGCTCACTGGCTGAGCGAGGGGCGGGCGCAGCCCCGAGGGGTGCGATCCTGTTGCCGGTCCTGGTCCGGTACAGGCGCGACACTTAGGGTTGCGGTCTGTTGCCGGACACGAAAAAAGACAAAAAGGAAAAAAAAAAAAAAACAATACTAGTTCTATATGCTAACAATGAACAATTAGAAATTAAAAGTAAAAACAATACCACTTAATAGAATATAAATAGAAAATAATTAGGGATAATTTTAAGAAAATATGACTAAGGCTTGTACTCTGAAAACTACAAACACTGCTGTGAGAAATTAAAGCAGGCTTAAATACAGAGATTACTATGTTCATAGATCAGAAAACTCAACAAATTCTCCCCAAATTGATTACATGATTTTAAGACTTCCTATAAAACCAACACTAATCAAGCCTGTGTGGTACTGGTGTAAAGACAGACATAATAGATCAATGGAAGAGAAGAGAGAATTCACAAGTAGACCCTCACAGATATGGCCCACTGATTTTGACAAAGATGCCAAGATATTTCAATGTGGAAAAGAACAGTCTTATGAACAAACATGCTGCTGCAACAACTCGATATCCATATGCAAACAAATAAAACTCCCCCAATCTCAAACCTTATACCATCTATAAAAATTAACTCAAAATAGATTATGTAACTAAATGTTAAAGCAAAAACTACAGATCTTCTGATGAAAACATAGGGGAACATTTTTTTGAGACCCTGGGTTAGGCAAAGATTTCTTAGTAACATAAAAAAAAAAGCATGGAAAAAACTGATAAATTCAACTACATCAACGTTAAAAACTTTTGCTCTTCAAAAGCCACTGTTAGGAAAATAAGAAGACAAACTACAGACTGGGAGAAAATACTTACAAAACACCTATCTGCTAAAGAACTCATACCCAGATTATCTAGAAACCAAACAAAGCGAAGCAAAAAAACTCCTAAAATGCAACAGTAGAACATGCTTTTTCAAATGGACAAAAGACTTGAATACACATTTCATCAAAAAAAATATAAATGGCTGGCTGGTTAGCTCAGTTGGTAGAGCTTGGTGTTATGACACCAAGGTCTATAGGGTTCAAATCCTCATACTAGTCAGCTGCCAAAAGAAAAAAAAAGCAGCAGCAGCAGCAGCAGCTATAAGAATCCCAAATAAGCACAGGAAAAGATATCCAACATCATTAATAGGAAAATACAAATTAAAAATCACAAAAAGATACCAGTAGATATCCATTGAACAGCTAAAATTAAAGACTGATAATTCCAAGAGTTAGCAAATGTGGAACAAATGGAACACAGAAACGGTGCTGGGAGAATGCAAAATAATACAGTACAGTCACTTGGGAAAACAGTTTAGCAGTTTCTTATAACGTCAAGCATATACTTACACACAATACAGCATCCCACTCATGGGTATTTACCCAAGAAAAATCAAAACATTTTCACAATAAGACTTGTCCTGGAATTTTTACAGCAGCTTAATTTATGACAGCTCTAAACTAGAAAGGGCCCAGATTGCCATCAACTGGTGAATGAATAAACGAATTGTAGCAGGTTCATATAATGCTACAGATCCACAAGAAGGAATGAACTTCTGACGCACACAACAACATGGATGAATCTCAAGAGTATTATGCTAACTAAAAATAAAATAAAATAAAGCCAGACACAAAAGACTACCTACTGTACTGTATGGTTCTCGCTATATGATATCTTAGAAAAGCTAAAACTGTAGTGACAGAAAGCATAGTGAGACAGCAAGCATATTAGTGATTAACAGGGACAGGAGGAGGAGACTGACTGCAAAGGGACAGAAAGAAAAGTTCCTGTCATGATGGGGAAGGGATTACACAATTTAAACATTTGTCAAAACTAAACAAAGTATAAACTTATACTGGTGAATTTTATTACATGCAAATTACACCTCAATAAAAAGCTGAAAACAAATACATTCCCAAAATAGAAGTATAAAATATAAAATAAGTTTTAGTCTTCACAACTTCCAAGCACCTCCTCTAATCGCATTAAAACTGGGATACTCAGCTGTAATTCTAAATAATATGAGTAGGAATCTCTAAACAAATTATCAAGTAGTTGAATATTTGTAATGCTCAAAGACAGAAGCTACAATTTTACTTAATGACCTCTAGAATATAGTATGTACCTACTAGCGGATTTCAGGTCACTTTGGTGAGAAGATACTAAACTACTCTGCTGATAAAGATCAACAATTTTACTGAATATGCTAAGTGGGATGAGGCAGAAAGCTAGGGAGACAATTTGTCAAATTATAACTGTGTGACAATAGAAGAAATGAAAGGAATGAAACTGCTTGCAAATAACTGAGCAAACCTAGAACCACATGGAAGAACACACCATAT